AATAAGGCTGTGTTTAGGTCTGGTATAAAAATGTGGGATTATTTTGGAGATTAATAAAGATGTGTTTAGGTCTGGTATAAAAATGTGGGATTATTTTGTCGATTAATAAGGCTGTGTTTAGGTCTGGAATAGAAATGTGGGATTATTTTGTCGATTAATAAGGCTGTGTTTAGGTCTGGTATAGAACTGGGATTATTTTTTCGATTAATAAGACTGTTTAGGTCTGGTATAGAACTGTGGGATTATTTTTTCGATTAATAAGGCTGTGTTTAGGTCTGGTATAGAACTGTGGGATTATTTTGGAGATCAGTAAGGCTGTGTTTAGGTCTGGTATAGAACTGGGATGATTTTGGAGATTAATAAGGCTATGTTTAGGTCTGGTATAGAACTGGGATTATTTTGGAGATTAATAAGGCTATGTTTAGGTCTGGTATAGAACTGTGGGATTATTTTGGAGATTAATAAGGCTATGTTTAGGTCTGGTATAGACCTGGGATTATTTTGGAGATTAATAAGGCTATGTTTAGGTCTGGTATAGAACTGTGGGATTATTTTGGAGATTAATAAAGCTATGTTTAGGTCTGGTATAGAACTGTGGGATTATTTTGGAGATTAATAAGGCTGTGTTTAGGTCTGGTATAGAACTGGGATTATTTTTTCGATTAATAAGGCTGTATTTAGGTCTGGTATAGAACTGGGATTATTTTTTCGATTAATAAGGCTTTGTTTAGGTCTGGTATAGAACTGGGATTATTTTGGAGATTAATAAGGCTGTGTTTAGGTCTGGTATAGAACTGTGGGATTATTTTGGAGATTAATAAAACTGTGTCTAGGTCTGGTATAGAGCTGGGATTATTTTGGAGATTAATAAAGCTGTGTTTAGGTCTGGTATAGAACTGGGATTATTTTGGAGATTAATAAAGCAGTGTTTAGCTTTAGTATAGTACTGGGATTATTTTGGAGATGAATTAAGGTTTAGATTTGGTAGGGAACTGACTAGTATGACAGAGATTAGGCTAACAGAGGAAGGCACTGATGAGCAAAAGCAGTCAGCGTTTGCGGTGTATCTTTTGGCGTGTTCAGCGTCATGGCACGGGGCTGTTTATTCTTATCTGTAACTGTATCTGTTCTGTTCATTCTGAGTAATGTATTTGTATGTGGTTACATCCCTAGAGTGAAACGGTGGTGGTAAAGAGAGACAGCCTGATCTAAATGGCTTTAAGAGACAGTTGTTCTTGTAACTGGTACTGCTGCCCCCACCACTGTAATGCTAGTGCTATTACAACTACCCTCAGCAGTCTGAAGGCTTGGCTACAATTCAAGAGTTCATGGGTTTGATCCCAGCTGATGGGATGTCCTTGAGGAAGACATTTAACCCCAAGCTGCTGCGTGGGGACTGACTCATGACTGGCTAATGTACATCGCTTTGGACAAAAGCACTATCTAATTGACAATACACATACAAACTTCCTCAACGATATTCCAGAGCAGCTGTTCAGAAATGCCATGAAGGTGATATTGTGGCCTGATATGGCTTTTGCAGTTTATGAAGCGAGATAGTGATGTTATTGTCACCTCTTAGGGCTGTTTTCCAAAGCAGCAAAGTGCCAAAATGAAAAGAGGAGGTAAAGGTTTTAATGTGCTTTGATTTAACTGATTAATTGTTTTTGTTTTTTTTTGTCAGTTATCTGATGATCTCATTCTCACCTTAGAAAAATTAAGCAACTGACCACTAACCATTTCCACCAAAAGCACTTAATGAGGAGTTTGTCTCAGCTGATCAATTCCCAGTATTGATAGTATTGATAAAAGAGTGGGTTGCCTGCAAGGCTTGAGTGTTTTATTACATAGATATCCTCTCTGTGATGAATCTCAAGGCCTAGGAAGACTACAGCTTCCAGCTCCCATCAGAGCAAGATTAGCTTCTCTGATTACAATGTCAGCTGCCTGAGACCCCCAGATAAATCATAGATGTTATCCCAAAGCAAAGCCCCAGCTATATATTACGATAAGTAATGTATTATTAAAGACGGCGAGTCGGCGAGTGGACCTGGGAGACTGACAAAGAAAAACAGTTTGTTTGTTCTGTCCATGACTGGAAGTGCAGGAGTAAAGCAAGCTTTTCATTTTACTACCGTTTTCCTTCCTTTAGCCAAAAATCTCTACAATCGAGGCAGCCTTTAGACAGGGCAGGTAGTTGCATTTTAGGGATCATAGGCAAAGTATTGCATCTTTACTACTATTGCTGTACTTCTGAGCCCCACACATTCAGGAAAAACTAACAGCAGTAGACTTAATTCAGTTTATCATGTGCTGTTGTGTGAGTGAATGAAGTGAGTATCCTTTACTAACTTTCGTTAAGGCTTGTATGATCAATGTTTTAGATTGTGGTTTTAGCTTGTGACAGCTTCCATTGCTGCTGACCAGCATACCAGCATGCCAGCATCCAAAACACAATATATGCGTTCCAAAGCAACAAAACATTTAGCAGTTGATGGGGTAAAGTGCAAAAATAAAAAGACGAGCTAAAAGTTTTTATATACTTTGATTTAACTGATGATTTGTTCTTGGTTTTTTTGCTGTTTTTCTTTTTTTTTTTTAGCAAAGTAGACACTCAGCACTTTGGTCTGAATCAAATTTCCCAGCTAACAGTAAGACATTTTTATTTCAGCTTGGTAGAATTACATGAAAATGTCCTTTTGTTAAATTGATGATTGCACAATTGCTTTCACTGAAAGTCAGTCAGAATAAAAGTGGGAGAGCAAAAAGTGCTGCACTTTCTCCACTGTTTAGGCGTCTTTAGTACTGTCTGGGTATGGTTAGTTTTACATATCGCTGTTGTCGGAACAAAACCTTGTATCTAACTTTACAGAAGAAGGAAAAAACCGGCTTTGCTTTTAATGTAAGTCAATGGAGTCAGACTTCTGTCCAAGTCATTTTGAGCCGTTTCTTTTGGTCCATTTATTGTGAAATTTACACACAATGTAAAGGGCAACAGGCATTTTCAAATAATGTCAAAAACTGAAATATGACAAAGATGGAGATACAAGGTTTTGTATGACAGCAGCGTACAAAACATACAGCTACATCTTCTGATTAGATGAGAGTGGCTATTGATCTACACATGGTTTCATTAGTGTTATCATTAGCTTAGGAATTCACAGTCAACAATCAACCTCACTGCATAAAATCAAATGTTTTTTTACGTTTTTATATTCAGGATTCAGAACATAACTGACTTTATTCTAGCCACAGAGAACAAGTATATTCATCTTCTAGTGCCTCCTTTTACACAAAATATGATGGCATTTTTACCAAAATGTTGATTTGCTCATGATTAATGTAACCTGGAGTTATTTCTGTACTTTGTGTTATAGAAGGTAAAGGGCGCTGGGGTCTTCTTGACTAAAATTACTGAGAAATGGTAGTAATAATTACATTAACCCATCATTTCCCCATGTGAAACTAACTCCATCTGGATATGTTTTGTTCTGACCACACCTGTATGGGGTTATGAATGATGCTAAAGGGTCTGTTTGGCCTCGTGGGGTAGTATTGTTTTATTTTTATCATCTGTTTTTTCCCCCATGTTACTCGAAGAAGACTAATGATTTGCATGTGTTTGTGTCTGAGCCTGTCTGGGAGTTGTGTGCTGTACCAAAAGGGTAAATATTCAGAATAATAATAACTGATTTTTGGAGAAAAAAAACAATGCCTCTGGCAAAAACTGCCACAGTCGGTGCCTAATAAGAGCTGTTATTTGGTGTTAGAGGCATTAAGCTTGTGCTTATACAGAAACATGCTGGGGAAAAACACAAAGCACTGCAGTTGGAAAAGCTTTTTTGCACTTAGCACACAGGCTCAAAGAGGTTTGCTTGTTCCATATGGGATTCTTTGAATTATATGAAAAACTCATCAAAGGGTGAAATATAATTCAATATGATAACTCAGATATTAGCAACATGGATATAATGGAGATATTTTTCCACAGCCCAAAGTTCTGTTTCGGAACTTATTTTAGTCACATTTTCTGTTTCTTACAATCTGAGTAATCCCAAACACACTGAATGATGCTGAGGTCTGGACTCTGGGGTGGCCAGTCCATTGTTCTGAGAATACCAGCAGCTTCTTTGTTTGAATTGCAAATTATCTTCCTTTTTCTCAGTAACAACTTCTTGAAAGCTGCTCATCCTTTCTGATTCCTTTTCTCCCTTTTTTTTCCCAAAGTCTATTACAGGAAGATTAAAGCAGAGGAATGCATAATACATAATTCATTGTATTTATATAGCACCTTTCTCAGACGTCTCTCAGAGGATGCTTTACAAAGTTAATGACAACAAACACTGAAATATACATAGCAAAACATGACAAATAAGGACAGATAATATGACAAAACGTAAGCAAAAATAGAAGAAACAGCAGCAACAGAAGGAGACGGCTGGTAAAGTTGAGGTATGAACTAAATACAAAGGGGAAAAATGACCGAAATAGAAAGTCAAATTTGGCAAATTATCAAATTTGGTTTTTAAGCTAAGATGGCATTGATGTGTTTATTCCTGCTTGTTGGGACGCGTCCAGAAGTATCTACTGTGGACAAATACAAAAAGGACACATTAAAATTGTGGGGTTTGGTAGTCAAGTTCCTTCAGTTTATACAAAGAAAATCGGCAAGATCAAAACAGCTTTCTGCTTAGTATGTTAAAGGAATACTCCAGCATTTCTCAGTATAATCCCTATCAGGTGCTGAAACAACTGCTTAATGGTTTCTATTATAAGCACATTTTTAATCAACAGGGTTTCGGTCCTTTTTGAAGTGCAGGGAAAGACATTGAACTTGACCATGGTCTATAGACAGACAGGGTTATTCTGGAACCACAAAACATGCTTGTTGATTGAAAAAAAATGTAAAAACTAGATCTGTCCAGACATGTAATGGACAGTTTATACGTATATGTGATGCTGTTTATAGCCTCTCTCTCTCTGTCTGCTTTCCCTCTCAGGTGTCCATGAGCTGTGACTATGTCTTTGTGAACGGTAAGGAAACAAGAGGCTCCATGAATGCTCGTGTGATTTTCAGCTACGAGCATCTGAGCGCCCCGCTGGAACTGACCGTTTGGGTCCCCAAACTGCCCCTCCGTCTGGAGCTCTCAGACAACCGCCTGGCCTTCATCAAGGGCTGGAGGGTCCCCATCCTGCCTGACCGCAGGTGAGATGCATGGATCACCACTTTCCCCAAACTTTTTTCTTATACCAGTCCTGGACACACATGATGTAGGGACGTGCATTCCAACTCATTTTGAAATTCCAGTCCCCATAAGAGTTAATGAATGTTTATCTGATTAACCACAGGGATGAAAATAGCCACACCAAACAGGGATTATATTTAGGCTTTAGGCCTACTTTTTTGAATGATAGCACTGAAAACACGTTTTATTGTTCAAAAATAGCCGAGGGAAATCAGTAGGTTTTCACCTTGGATGAGTAACCGAGGCTGCCCCTTCAGATGAGCGAACGAGCTAACACTACAGCTAACCGATGCGATGTTGGATTGTGATGAGGACTCATTGTCTTCTATGTGATGTCTTTTCTTTTCACATCATTCCAACATGTTAGTCTGTCAGAGAAATATGTTTTCATAGTTTCTGAACATAGCTAATATAAGCTAGAGTAGTTAGCTATGTTAGCAAAAAAGCTGCAACTGAACCAGCCACGCTATCTTTTGCCTGCTTGGTCATGTCCTTAACAAGTATACTTGTCAGTGCAAGGCGCTTGTGTTTTATAGTAGCAAATGTAATGTAATGTACATACTTGCTCTCATAGTAAGATGTTCTGGTCTAAAAGCTTATGCTTAAATGTACTGGGGGTAGTAGTGAGTTTGATATTTAAGTGACGTCTTGTTAGATTTATACTAAAAGTTGTCATATTTTCACTTTTCTTGAACATGTTTGTGAGGCAAGTTAGTCCACGTCTTACTCAGAGTTTCACTTCAAAGAGAACATCAGAGCTTATCAGACTTCACTTCCTATCCTGGTAGATGCTGAATGCACTACTTCCACTGTGGTTCAACAGAGAGCTGAGTTCTTCAGACGTATTCATTTATTTTGACCTGTGTTTTGTTTGGTCACTATTACTTCCGCTCCAATCATTATTTTAATAGCTGTTCGGTCATTATTTAAGTTGTAGTTTTCAGCAGTTCTGCACATCTCCCCCAGGTAGTTGGCTCCTCAAGAAGCTGCTTGAGAGAACGCCAACAGTGTCTAAAGCTGCATCAAAGCAAATGCTACTGTAGACATCTTCACAGACTCAACTAGCAGAGTGTTAAATTTCATACTCAGATTAGTGTTGCTTGTGTAATTGTTTTTGCCCCTCTGCCGCTGCATAATTGAGTTAATGTGTCTGTGGCAGAGAGAAACAGTGTTATAATGTATTCACTCTTTGAGGATCATCAGACCATATTGTTTTTTTATGAGCACAGTTGGTTTACCTCTGCTAATATGTCTCCTATGGTGGCAGCTCAATAAGTATAGCATATTTCATATCATTTTAATGCAATTTAAGGAACAGGCACAATTTTCTGCAGTAAAGTTACGGTCTCTATCTAACTTGTGGGTTAAGTAATAATGCAAGACGTGCAGCTGGCCAAGAAACTGAAATTTTACAGTTGCGTGTAGAGCTGTGAAATGAAGCTTATATGTGTTACGGGTGGTCAGTGATGATATGTCATCATAATCGTGATCGGTTATGTCAGTACTTTGTCGTATCTAGAACGCTGAACAGCTCAATGTGTGATAAAGACAGATTAATTACAAAGAGACTATAAACAACTACAACCTGCGTATAGTAAGTGTGTAGTAATAAGTAGCTGATTGGATGTCAACCTATTATGACATCATCTTATATATTACGTGTACGTATATTATATATATATTATATATTATATTCATTTATTTTTATATTGTTTTCTAAAGGCATTTTCCACAGCACAACATAGCATATGCTGGTTTTGCTGGTGATCAGAATATCACCTTCCATTTGCTGCTGACCAGCATACCAGCATCCAAAACACAGTATATGCTGGTTTTGATGATGACCAGCTGTGCTAGTCTGTGCTGTTTTTTCTAGCAGGGAAAGTACTGGAAACTCTGGCACCAGAAAACTGGAACATTTTCTAGTGGTCACTGGTCTTGTACCGAAGGTTCCAGTTTTATGCTTTTTGGTCCCGCTCAAGATTGGGAACAGGACCTAATGATACATGATGCTGTCCTTTTCTGTCTTTGGTAACACTTGCGGCTAAAGCTATCAGCAGTCTAGCCAATTCTTTAATCTTCCTGGTGAGGACAACATCATAAAGTACTATTAACTCTACATGACCAAAAGCGTCAGAATGTAAACGTGTGTCAGTTGCTGTTTTCAGAATTATTGCTTAGTTAAGTTAGTTAAGGTAATATGAGCTACTTAGGAAGCTAATGCAAGCACTGTTTATGCCAGCCTCTGAGGAATTAGTGCATACTTTTTTGCATATTTTCACACTGGACAGAGAAAAGTATAATTGCTCATTTTTAAACTAGAAAATATGGTGCTAATTATTTTTAGATATCACCCAGGCCTATCCGGATATCATTTAGATGTTATATTTTTGCCATATCATCCACATTTACTATGTATAAAAAAGGCTGTGAATCCTACATGGTTCACACAATATAGGAATAAACACCCTCGTTTTAAGGTGCATTTTAAAGGGCCAATATCCCTTTAAATCTCACTATTTGAGAAGATAAGAGTCTGATGTGGCATGTTAACATTGCTGAAGTCCATACAGTGTATAAATGAAATTGAAGCTGCAGAAATGGGCCACTTTGAATTTATTGTTTTTGTGACGTCATACATCTACTTATTGAGCCTACAACTTTTTACATATATCAGTCTTAAAGGCACAGTAACAAAAACAGCCTGTTTAATTCTAAGGGATTAAGTCATGTAAAACTAAATTTATAACATTTTTTGATACATAGGTCCACACAAATGTCAGATGTGTATATCAGGGAAAATGATGAAATGAAGGAAACATGTGGAATATGAACATGTTGAATTCATAGTCACTATTTCATTTCCAATATATCATGCTGGACTGTAGAACCAGACAAATAAGCAAGAAAATGTTTTTTTTAGACTGAACTGGACATTCTGTGAAAAATCCATCCTTTTGTTCTGAAATAGCTTTGATGTATATAGGCAAATGAGGACAAACTTGTAGTATTTATTTATTTATTTATTTATTTATGTATTTATGTATGTATGTTTATTTATTTATTTATTTTTACATAATTACATCAACTGTGCTCTTTGATTTTTTTTTTTAGCCTCTAGCACTGTCAAAATGCCCGGCAGGCAGAAGGGGTAGTGTCAGCTTTTGATTCATGCAGAACAGAAAATATATACTTTCAAAAATCTGGTTTGTATTCTGTACACATGGGCTGTGAGAGAGTGACTGATTTCCTAATTAAGTTGTAGTAATTCTGATGGGCCATTCAGATGGAAATGTGATCGGATTTGGTGATACTAATCCAGTTTTGAACTAGAGCAAAATCCACTGCAGGCTGTTACCTAAGATCCCCGAAATCCTTCCAGAAAGTCTTGTTTGTGCTCAGTGCGACTAATATGTTTGTGTTCCGAGCTGCAAAGAGGCCCTACAAATACAGATAAAGCTCCTAAAGCTCGTGTATATTTAAGAAGTGAGCTAATATTTCACTGTTGTCTGGCCATTAATAAAGTCTGCTGAGGCGGAGAGGCTTCCGAATGAATGTTTTCCTTTCCCCTGATAAACAGTCGAGATAGTCGAAAGAGGGGCATTGATTTTTAGCTGTGACCTGAACTTCCTCTGATTCAGCTGTCTGAGTATAAGAATTTCTTGCTAGCTCTCACTCACAGACACGAGAGTGGCGGAAATGATGGTCCTGATTATTTTGCTTGGTATTGAAATCAAAATAATTTATGACTCAGCCAGTTTCAGGAACTGTTTTGTTTTTATAAGGCACTTCATTTACACCCTAAGTTATCACCCAAAACAAAAGCATGGTGCAATGCAGTATTAATTACTGCTCACTCACTGAAACAAGTAGAGAAATTCTGGGGAAGTTCTAAGGTTTATTTAATACATCATTTGTGTTTGTAAGTAGAAGAGATATTTTATCATGAGTTAATATTATGCACACAGTCTTGTTTAATGGAAAAAAGAACCATTGTTTGCATTTTTTGCCTCGTTTGTGTCATTTTGGCCTGTCAATAACCAGGTGGAGGTGCAGACCTGAAGCCGTCAATGCAGAATGTAAATATAATGTAACTGTAATTCATTGTGTATCTCACTATATCACTTTAATAGTGAAGCAAAATAAAATTATTAACTGCATCTAGCATTAGATTGCAGTAGTAGTTCCAATACTAATTCCAGGAGCTTCCAAGGACTCCAGAGAGAGAGTCCTCTTTCTTCAATGTTAGTATTTATTAATTATGTAAATGTAATTCATTGCATAACTATGTAAATAATCTTGTAATTACATTTAAATAGTATAGCAAAATAAAGGTATTTGCCATTGCGTTCTAAGGGTTAAATCAACAGAAAACATAAGCTTTTATACCTTTAAATATATAAATCTTTGAAGCAATATAAGTTTAGTCCTTGAAATAAACATGCAGTTACAGTATGCTGGCTGATAAACTGTATTTGTATCTGGAAAAGGGAATATGCTCATATATTTTTATTTTGTGCCCCTCCCACAAAATGCCTGACACATGATGTGTCTGTCATATATGATGGAGCCTTTTCTGCCAGTGGAATGGAAATTGACTCATATATTTTCAATTAATATAATCAAATAAAACATTTTCCCTTCCCTGTGTGATGTTGAGCTGCTAGTGAGCAATGAGGGATGAAATAGGAAACAGTTTACAGCTCTTCACAAAGACAGCCATGCTGAGCTAAAACGCAACTGTAGCTTTCTTGATATCAAATGATTGTGTACACCTTCCACAATAAAAAAAAATAGTCTGTAAACACAGTTAAAGCACTTGTTAACTTGTTTGCTCACCTACAAAGATGGAAATCCAGTTTAATTCTGGTTTTGTAAATCAAACACATTTCCATCATAGAAATACATTCATCAATGTACAAAAATTTCAATAAAAAGTGAAATATAACATTAGCTAATT